TTCTCCATCTTCTCCAAAGAACAATATGGGATATTGTATCAAAGGCTTTGTAAAATAAAGGAAAACTACAGGCACAAAAGCCTTCTCATGTACTTGTTTAGTTACCCTGTCAAAAAAAGGAAGTTATTCTGGCATGATCTGTTCCTGACAGAGCCATAATAATAATGGCTCCTTGTAATCATCACTTCTCTTTCTAGATGTTCACCAACTATCTCCTTAAAAATCCATTCTAAAATACCCCCCCCCCCGGAATCAAATTCAAACTCAAGTGTAGTTTGTAGACTCTGTTCTCCTCCCCTTATTTTTTTAATTGGGACACCTGCCTGCTCTCCCAAAGAAACCTGGGCATATTTGTGTAAGAAAGGAAACAGCAAACAGAGACAAATTAGTAATTAGAAACAGCATGAGTAAGGATAATTGAAGGGGAAGAAGCCCAAAGAAGAAAAGTATACAAGGCCTGGCAAGGAGAAAGGCCACCTTGTTGTTAAAAATTAGAGACAAGGAAAAAGAAAATGGGGGGATGATAAGAAGTTTAGTGTTACAGACTAATAGAGAAGAGACAGCTCATGGCAGATTGTTTTTATTTTCTCAACTCATTTAATTAGTCCAAGAGTACATCCATTTTAGATCAGGGTCCAGAAGACATAGGTACTCAACTGAGCCAAAAATTTGTACAAGAGGAAGAAAGATGGCTTTATATTTGAAAGTGTTGTAATGATCCCAAGTTGCTGCTGTTGCTATTTGTCCTTTGTTTTCAAAGATGACCAATGACATCAGGGGGTGATGTCTTGACCCATGGGTGAAATGGATTTAAGTGAGGCAGAGTTGCACAAAGTCATCAGCCTCACTCTCTCTTCCAGAGTCACTGAAGTCCAGTGGCAGGGCAAAAGTCAAAATGACTGGCAATGGTCCAGAACACAGCGAATGACCTTGGCATCCTTGATGTCTGACTAAGATTTAAGCTCTCTACAGCATCTGCTTTAGCCACCTTCATGGCTATTAGAACAAATTGTTCTTACCCACTCATTTCACCAGGGGAAGTCTTCACATGCTTTGGGTAGACATAGCCCTAACTCACTGATGGATTTGAGACCTATTGGTTACCCTCAAGTTGATTCAGCCTTTCTGCCAAGATGGTTTACTGTGTGTGGCTGTTGCACGTGCTACAGTTTCTTGGAGCCACAGGTTAGAGTTAGGTGAAAAGTGGACACCAATGGTGGATGAGCAGCCCTGAAAAGGGCTTGGCAAACCCTCACACCAGAGATGCTAGCCCTCCTGGAACACCCTATATACCCCTGACAATCAGCACTGAAAATCTTTTGTTGATAGTATACGGCTTCAAATCACAGAATAACCCTGAACAGGCTGTTAGTAGAAATATTATTTCATCTTCAAATAAGGAAACTGAGGTTCAGAGAGGTTCACAAGGTAAGTATTTAGTATTTACTGAACTAAAAAAAAATTCTCATTCCATCTTTTATTTTGATAAAAGAAGTCTCTTACTAAATACAAATCAGACATAGATGCATAATGATTGTAACCCAATGAATAAGAAAAGCACCATGTGCATAAACTAGTAAGAATATTTTAAGGACCCGACAAAAGTATTTCCCCAAAATCCTCAATATAATTTATTAAACACCAAAAACACCCTTCTATAGAGTTGCACAAAATTTTAGACAACAAAACAATGGCTCCCCTTGAAGTTTTAAAACAGTTTAAGCATTGTAATAAAGGATAACACTTTTCAAATTATTAACCCATAAATCTTCACTCAACAACTTTAGAGCATGTAGTTGCACAACATAGCATACAGGTAACTTGATAAACAGGGAAGAAAGAAAAAGTAACATGTGTGAATCAAGAGAAATTTTTGAAAGTTTTTAAAAGATGTTAAACATAGAAAACTGCATCTGAAATCCAAATATACTCAAGAATAAGTTTGTCACAGATTTGGAGGTTCTCTGTAACAATGCAAATCACATCTCATCCAAGCTTGCCTATCCTGTCCATGTTATCCCAAAATGTCTTTTCCACAGAGGAGCCATCCAAACACCCTTCCCCATAAGGGAGGTCACCAGTGGAGGACTCCAGATAGCCATCAGTCATCCCCGGCTCTTGCCATATGAGACTGACACATCCTCTCCTTTGGTCATACAATTTCTTCACTCTTTTTCTTCTTTGGAATTCTTCATTGGTTGCGTGTTACAAGTTTCCCATACTCATCATGAGCCTCTCCATCACTATCATTGGGATATTCACCTTAGCACTTACGAGGAAGCAGCACTCCACATCTCCCTGCTATATGACAAAATCAGCAAAAATAGTCCTAGGAATATGCCAACTGGTCTGGCAAAAGATGGTTTATTTAACCTTCACAAAATAAAATCAACCTTAATGTTACATTCATTGTTTCATTCCTTTGTTCTTTGGTCTAAAATTTACTGTAAGCTACCTTCTACAAATCTTCTTTTGGAGCTTTTTTTCTCCTGCTTCTGGAAACAGGTCAGTTGAAAAACCAAAAACCAAAAAATCTCATTCCTAAATAACTGTTCTACAACAATTACTGGTATATTCTGAAGAGCATACTAATGACGCATGAATTCTTTCATAAGAATGAGTCTATTTCACAGCCAAATTAGATTCCAAAAGATTTCTGTAGTTTTAATTTTTGTTTTCATTTTTAGTAACTGTTATTTTTTCATGCAACTGAAAAAGGAAACTTAACTTACCTGCAAAATTGGGACAAAAATGTTTTCTCTAAATTTCTCAGCGTTAATTGTTTCACCATGTATATATCATTGGAGGGTTTAAATCTAAACTCGTAAAAATTTTAAACTATAAAGGCAATTAACTTTAAAATGTAATTAACTGGAAAGCAGAAAAATTCATCAGAAATAGAACAAAGCAAAAAAGGTGAATGTAATATTTTTAATCACTATAACACCTCAACTAATGATCCTTAGGCAATGAGAAAAATCTTGGCTTTGGGCTATTCCAACCAAGGTAATCCCCCTGCTCTTTCCAATTCACAATGGGCAGTCCTGAGACATAAAACTGATTTATCATCTACCTACTCCACAATTTTAATTACTATTTCCACCAGAGAAAACAAAAAAGAAATTGTTCAAGCCAACTACCCTGAATCAAGCAAATACCCACATATACACACAGATACACATACACAGTTCACAAGAGAAATAAATATATTCCAAAATTCACAAAGTTTTCTATAACTGACAGTAAAAGAACCAGAACCAGAATATGAGTTTTTGTTCAATCAATAATCATTTTGTTTATGACAAATTGCCAAAAAGGGCAGGAAGGCACAATGGATAAAGAGCTGGCCTTGAAACCAGGAAGACCGAAGTGCCATTCCTTCCTGCGATCCTTTTTGGTTAGGAGACCTAGGGCAGGCACTTGGAATTCTCTAAAAAATTCTAGAAAGTGCTGACCTGCTTGGTAGAGGAAGTTTTCTCACTCAGGAGTCCTCTATACCAATGAAATCACAGGTCCAGTCCCATCCTCAACCCTAAGAAATTATTATGAGGCTGTGCTACAGAGTGGGTAGATAGCTAGCCACCATAAAAGGGGGCCCAAGTTTCAAGTCTTGCCTCTGACATGTGCTGGCTGCGTCACTGGAGGCAAGTTAGTTGCACAGTGGATACAGTGCTGGACTTGGAGTCAAGAAGTTGCTGGTTAGTTATTTACAGCCATGTCTGACTCTCCATGACCCCTTTTAGAGTTTTCTTGGCAAAGATACTGGAGTAGTCTGCAATGTCCTTCTCCAGCACATTTTATAGATGAGGAAACTCAGGCAAACAGACCCTTGCCTTGCCCAGGGTAACACAGCTAGTAAGTATCTAAAGCTGGACTTGAATTCAGGAAAAGGAGTCTTCCTGACTCCAGGCCCAGCATTCTATCCACTGAGCCACCTTGTGGCCCTGGAGTCAGGAAGACCTAAGTTCAAATTCAGCCTCTGACCTCCAATAACTGCATGACCTTGGGCAATGCACTTACCCCCTGTCTGCTTCAGTTCTGTCATCTGTAAAAAGGGGACAACAATAGCACCTACCTCCCAGGTTTGTGAGGATAAAATGAGAAAATATTTATAAAGTTAAAGCCAAAACACTATGAAATTCTAGTTGTTGTTGTTGTTATTAACCTTTCAATGCCCCAAAGAAACTCATTGGGAATTGGCCTAAGGAAATTACAGGTCTGGTTTAAAAAACAAGCAATGAAGATTATCTTAACACACAAGGACAAAAGTTCTTAACAAAATCTTAGCCTAAATTTCTCAAGTTAAGATTAATTACTTATCAAATTATCTACAAAGCTTTTGGCCAACCATCTAAGTCACAAAACTTGGGCATCTGCCTTCTCTGTCTACCTAACAGAATTAACAGCCAGTTCCTACCTGATCATCTGTTATAGTACCATTTAATTCTTTGCTCTTTTTTTTGCAATTAGGTTGATCTTTTTACATTTTTTCCCACAACTCCATAAATCTGTCTTAATTATTAAATGTATTCTTTCAATATTCCACCCAAGCTCTATTCTATTGCCTCACTGTGGTAAGATGGTGACTGCTCGTCTGTCATATCTGAAGACCAGCCCAAAAAATCCTGGAAAAGCTCCTCACCAAGAGGCTAGCCACCAAGTGATATATTTTTCATTGATGGCAACTTGTAAAATACAGAAATGCATCATTCATCCTTGGTAGAAAGCATATCCACACAAAAGGATTTTTCTAAATTTAAGGAAAAAAAATCAATGACATAGATATTCTCCATTGCCAATCTATTTCTCACTTGCTAAATCACATTAATGGTATGTAAGAAGCAAATACAGGCACCAAGCCCAATTTTATTTTTTTTACATCCATCGCTATAACACTTCAATTCAGAGGTAGTCTCTATTTTTAGCACATAAGATACATTAATCTAAACACATCAACTAAGCATTTGGTAGAGAGGAGAAGATGGGGAAAATGTACTTACATTGGTAACAGTCACTGCATTTTTGTCATAGTATTTCTTTTTTTCATATTTATCTCTGATGAAAAATTCCACTGCTCTGAAAACAAGTAACTTAAGGAAAAAAAAATGTGGCAATGTCTATTTCCTTCTGACCCATTCTCTTGACCCACATTACCAAAGCTTAGACATTCATCCTTAATAAGATTTTCCTGGTCCCAACTCTGTGCCTTTTCTCATACTATTCTTATACTAAGAATACACTCTTCTCCCCCTCAGCATCCTATTGTTGTTCTTGCAATTATTTCCAGAAATTTTATTTTCTTCTGAAAGATTTTCTTAAACAACAAAAATCTCTCAATACCTATGAGAAAATTTCTTAGCTCATAACACAAAACGACAAAAAGGAACACTAGAGAGTATATAAAGCATTTTTAGCTTTTTATTTTGGTTCTCAATGTAATGTCACTCAATGTGTCAAACAGGTATCCCTGTGTATTAATACAGTCATGGGTAATTACCTTGCTTGCTAGGTTGGGAAATGAGAAAAACAACAAGAATTAAGTCAGTGGTGCTTTCTTTCACTTATGTATGCCACTATGATCCAACTTAATTTAAACAGAATATCCTGCTTAAGTGATCTGTCCAGGCTATTAATGTTTCACTCATAGTCAACTTGTATTTATTTTGTATATTTTGTACATAATTATGTGCATACATATTACCTTGCAGGCAAGGATGATTTCACTGTGCCTTATACACAGGAGATCCTTCATGCTTGTACGTTAATTGTGAAAAGAGGACAGGACTTGGCATTACAAATCTACTTTCAAATTCCAGCTCTACTACTTACTACCTGTATGATCTTGGACAAGTGTCACCATCACCCTCTTAAATTCTCTGGGCCTCAGTTTCTTGATGTGTAAAATGATGGGGTTAGATAATCTTTAAGGTCTCTTCCAGCTCTAAAATCTATAACCCTCTAATTTATTTCAGAAAGTTCCCTTATCCAAAAATATTTCTCCCACTAAACTGTACCATCAATACCTGAAACTCCACCATAAAAGCTTCATTTCCTTGAGTTAAGGCGCTGAACCTTGTTAAAATTCAAATGCTCTTTGGGACAGTAATACATCAAACCAGTTACTGTCAGTTACTCACATCTGATGATTAAGTTTATCTGACCCTCTCCAACTGACAGGTCATCTCAACACAGAGTTCAGAGTAGGTCTGGGAAGTACTAGAGGAAGACTAGGCCAGGTAGTTAGAGAATACCATACTTAAGGCTGGACTTTAAATATGGTACACCTATTTGTTTTAAAATACATAATCCTAAAACAGCACTTTCTTTTTTTCCTTATAAACAGTATTTTATTCTTTCAATTACATGTAAAAATAGTTTTCAACATTTATTTTTGTAAGATTTTGAGTTCCAAATTTTTCTCCCTTCCTCCAGTCCCCAAGACAGCAAACAATCCAATAGAGGTTACTACACATGTACAATCATATTAAATATATTTTCATATTAGTTATGTTATAAAGAAGAATCAGAACAAAAGAGAAAACCACAAGGAAAAAGTGAAAATAGTATGCTTCGATCTGCTTTCAGACTTCATAGTTCTTTCTCTGAATGTGGGCAGCCTTTTCAATTATGAGTCTTTTGGAATCATCTTGGATCACTGTATTTCTGAGAAGAGCTAAGTCTATCATAGCTGATCATCACACAATGTTGCTGTTACTGTGTACAACAGAACGGTACTTTCTAGTACGAAAACTAAAAGGAGGTTGGAACACGTTTGCAAGCTATAAAGACCCACATCACAACAGCAAATGAAGCTTTTTCTTAAGTTCAGGTCTCACTTTTCTTTATGTGGGGTCTCTCCAGAAATCATTCACTACCCCAACCCCAAATGAATCCACATCCTTTCCTTGAAATCTCATAAATGGATGAGTTTATCCTGATACCTAAACCAAAGACTTCTTAGATGAGCTACCATTATAAATGGATTCTCTTCTCTTTCTTTATTACCACGGTCTGAAAATCTGTCCTGAAGTCCCACTCTCTCTTCCCTGATCTCTCTGGGTGCCAATTTTCATCAATACCCATTAAAACCTTCATATAGCCATGGACTGACAATCTGACAAAATCTGGACAAACACTCCCTCATAAGACAGAAAACACAAATATTTAATCTACTGGAGAAGCATCTGGCACAGTGCCAAGCTCATATATTAAATGTTTAACTACTATTTGATAATGATAGTAAAAACAGCAAAAACTGGAAAGTAATGCCATACCTACATCTTTAAGGAACAGGCCTCAGGTAACTAACCCAGTGAATATGACTGATAATAGCCTTCTGAGGTACACAGACTCAGGAATACCTTAAAATCCATTTACCTAAACAGTTCATGAACTTTTCCCACATACTAGGCAATTACTGTGTGATACATTTATAAAAATATCTTTTAACTACTACTTTCCTCCAAAGATCACCATATAAGGCGTTCCCTATGATTCTTGGAGTTTTGTTAGCTAGGGATGTTAAATAATATATTCACCAATTCACTACTTTGTATGAAAAATTTTAGTAGTCAGGAGGAAGTACATAGATGGTTAGTCTTTCAAATCCAGTATCTTATGAAGCAAGGTTTGCGACAGAGATTTCAGATTTTTTTTTCTTCACAATACAAAAACATGAGTTTATGCAGTATTATACCTATGGCTGCTTTCACTTCCTACTCAAAAGAACATTATATACAGTATTAAGAATACTAAGCTCTGAAATAAGAAATACTTCACTCATTAAAGAACTAAAAATTCAAAGCACATTTTTGTATTAAGAGATTTGAGGAAAGGATAAAGACTAATATTTTATCTTCTAAGAAGAAAAATTAATGACAAATTTAAATATTTGGGAGTAGTATCTGATTTATACTATGTATTAAAATTTGATAATAAAATCCATTGTCTCTCTCATGAAATATTTATAACTTTAAAGAATCCCTGGTTGACTTCACTATTATTAAAAAAGCAAAGTCTCTCTTACTAATACAAAATAGTAAAGAAAAAAAGCACGTGCATGCACGCACGCACGCACAGCAAATATTTAAAACCTTATTTTGTCTGTTTATATTCACTCTATTTCATCTTCTCCATTTTCTCTATGCTTCCCCCTATTGTTTGTGGCTCTAAATACCAAAAGAACTAAGCAAGAAATATGCTCATGCAACTTTCTTTATACAATATCTTCCACATCATCAAATGTCTCCTTCATGAGTAATAACCAATATTAAAATTAATTTTAATGAATTAATAGTAATGAAATATTTTATCTTTACTGCCCACTACCTAGATGCCAAATTTCACGAGGACTTAAAGCTATCTCAACATGGATCAACACAACAAAACAAATAACATGAGAAAAGTGACACTGTAACTAATCAGGAAATAACAATAAAGACTACGTTTTCCACTAATATTTAAACTTTCAGGTTGTGCAACTTGAAGTTAAAAAAAAACCTCTTCTCACAACGAAAGCAAAAAGCATTCAGTAGAGCAACCCTTTTTTCTCCCTCTCTTCCCCATATCTCCCTCCCCCAAAAGGCCTTTAAAATAATACTCTGGGGGTTCAGAGATTTTTTTAACAATTCATGTATTATATTTTAACACACACACACACACATTAACATTTCTGCTTTCATTACAGATACTTACCACTTTTGAAGACAATTAAATTACCATCTACTCTCATAGAACACAATATTCCATTTTCTAGGCACATACTACTGACAGTAGAACAACTTTGAAAAGCTCAAATAACCTCAAAGGAGAACTGTGGATTAGCTCTGCTGCACAATAGATCTCATGAAAATGAAGTAATTAAATTTTATAGATAAGACCAAAAATCCTAATAATGAAAAGCTTAATGTAAAGCTTTATCATTTGTCATGCACTGGTACATGCAGCCTATAATTAACCACATCCCACATGAGAAATTACACTTTCACAGTAGCTTTTACATGACTTTTAAAAATTATAAAGCTTTTAAAAAGTGACAAATCTTGTTAAGTTTGTAGGGAGGTCCCATATTATGCTAGTTTAAATACTGCCGTTTAACTCAGTTTGCCTCTAGTTACCTATAAGGGTAAGGCAAGCATCTATACAAGTCAGGCAGTTCTATGAATATCATGCTTTAGAACAGGAAGACTGATAAAACTGAGAATAGGTACTTTACTACTGAAATATGAACTTCACTTCTTGGCGCTTTATGTATGAGCGAAGAAACCACTAAAAGAAATCAACATTGCCATATCAACAAGGTAAATTCTAAAAAAATTTATAGTAGCACATTAAATGTGGGGGAGTGGGGAAAAGGAGGGAAGGGAAGGTACTACAGTAAAGTTAGAAAGGTTCTGTTATAACTTGAGGCCAGTCCTAAGGTAAAAGCAACAGCAACAATCTTTTATAATATCCAACTAGGCACAGTGAATTTATGTAAAAGAATTTCTATTTTTAAGTTGTTGCAAATAACAACTACTAGGTACATTTTGTCGATAAAAAGAATTCCCTTTTGTTTTTCAGAATGATTGAAAACATTTTTAAAAAATAATATTCTGCTCAGTACTTTCTTCATATAGCGAGGAATATCATCTTAAAGTGATTTTGAAGAGTATCATTTAGGAAGAGGAAAACCCCTAGCCTAATACTACTTTGTACAGACCTGGCATTCCATAAATATCTGTTCAAATGAATTGAAATGAAATGGAAAATAAACAAGTTTCATGAAATGACAATCAAATATACTTGAAATATGAAGAGACATGACATGATTTAAAGGAAGAACTGAAGTAGGGAACACAAGATGAATGCCAAACAACATAACTAGAAATCTTCTCCCAGACCTTACGGTTGAGTCAAGGTCAAATAGAAACGTTTCCCACTTGACTTAAGAAAGCTACAAATTAACATTATCTATGTTGTATTGTGTGTCTGGGGTTTTTTGTTGAACATTTTCCAACTTATTTTCATCTGTTTGGGGCCTCACTTTTTTTTGCAGTGGTCTCATCTTTGAATTAGACACCTCTGCATTATATTCCAGTAATGAAAGAAATAATACTATTTACTTCCTAATACGCACACATATAAACACACACAGACATAAACGTACACATATATGTGTGTATACACATGCATACATATAGATATACAATTAATTATTTTAAAAAGAAATCAAGGTTTAAAATGAGGTTAACACTGAAATTATGCACAGTATCAACTTAAATAATATGTCCAATTATACAATGGGTTAAGGGCCATTAAGATTTATAATAATAGTCCATAACCCCTCACACCTATACATCATGAATGCTTTCTTTAAAAAGTAGCTAGGAAGTGCCAGATATGTGGAGCACCAAAAAATATCAAACACAGAAAAGAAATCTGACTATATTTTAAGAGAGAGGAAATAACTAACAAAATGGGAGTCATTTCCTAATCAGTTTTCTGTGGTTTGCTAAAGATCAAAATCAACACCAAACATGATTTTTTAAAAATAGGCATAGGCAATGGATGAAACAGCAGACATCAACATGGACTATCACTACTTCCTAAGGAAATTTAACCAACAAAAGTCAATTGCCATAACGCAGAGAACAAGAACACCTACCTCAGACAATAAACATCTGATCTCTCCAAACAGAGAGAATGACTGAGAATACAAATCCATTTGCAAAATATTACAAAAGACCCCAATGAAAAATTTTGAATCTTATGATTTCATAAAAGAGCAAAAAGAAATGGAGGAGAAAAAAGCTTACACAGGCAGCTGGGTGGTACAGTGAACTGAGCAGAGGGCCTAGAAACAAGAAGACATGAGTTCAAATAGGCACTTACTAGCTGTGTGATCATGGGGAAGTCATCTAACCTCTTTGCCTCTTTCTCATCTATAAAATGAGGATAATAGTAGTATCCACTTCCCAGAGTTGGTATAAGGATCAAATGTTTTGAGAACCTGGCACATAGCTTACTATGTATTAGTTGTTGTTTCTGCTATCATTATCATCTTTATAAGAAAGTCATCCTAAGGGTACCTAAGGATAAGACTGGAAGGAAGGTGAGACAAAAATTGGAAAAGTTCTATAAAGACTTCTAAAATGAAATATGTCTCAGATACCCTACATGAGGAAGTAGAAATGTCACTAAAAGAAACCAAGATAGGAAGAACAGCTAGACCAGACCAATACATAGAAAGGGACCCCCATGGAGGAGAGAACAATTTTAAGTGCTAAAGAAATTATTCTCAAAGTATTTCAAAAAAGGAAGCATTTGAAAACAAATTCCAGATCTAATTAAACCTTCCCCCCAAATAAAAGACAATCAAGAGAATAACAATATGAAGATCCTACTTTCCAACCCATAAGGACTTTACTTTTGTTACAAAAATTTTATAAGACAAACATATCCAATTTTTGAGGACGTCCTTAATGAAATGCCAAAAGACAACATTGTAAGTTTTGACAAGTGATACTCTACAGAAAGATACCTTTTGTAGTCACAGAATTAACTAAAAAATGCAAAGAATTTAAGATCCTATTGTGCTTATTTTTTGTTGACTATAAAAAGAATTTCATTTAGTAGAGCAAAATGCCACCTGAAAGACTCTCCTCTAGGAATGTGTTTCTCAGTCATATAAAAAAATCATGAGATTCTTAAAAACTTTAACAGAAGAGATGACTCTGATAAGGCACAAAACAAGGGGAGACATGGCCACTCAAGTTATCTAACAGGGGAGATAACAAGCAAACAAATATGCAAAAACAAGCTATATACAGGATAAATAGGAAATAACTAACAGAAGAAAGACACTAGAATTAAGAGGAAGGGTTGGGAAAGGCTTCCTGCAGGAGACAGGATATCAGGTGGGATTTTTTGTTTAGTTTTGTTTTTAGGCATTTGGGGTTAAGTGACTCGCCCAAGGTCACACAGCTAGTAAGTGTCAAGTGTTTGGTCTGAGGCTGGATTTAAACTTGGGTTCTCCTGACTTCGGGGCCAGTGCTCTATCCACTGCACCATCTAGCTGCCCCCTCAGGTGGGATTTAAAGGAAGCCAAGGAAGCCAGGAGGTAGAAATATGGAAGGATAGCATTCCAGACTTGTGGGACAGCAATGGAAAATGCCCAGAGTCAGGAGATGGAACATCTTGTTCGATGAGCAGCTAGTAGGCCAATGTCAATATATCAAGAGCATGTGGCAGGAGTAAGGTGTAAAGGCCAGAAAGGTAGTCCGAGGAGGCTAGGTCACGAAGGGCTTTAAACACCGAACAGAAGGTTTTGTATCTGATCCTGAAAGCGATAGAGAGCCAGTAGAGTTGAATGAGGACAGTGACATGGTCAGACCTGCATTTTAGGAAAGTCACTTTGTTAGCTAAATGGAGAATGGATTGGAGTGGTGAGAGACTTGAGGAAGGGCAACTGCTGGCGCGGGTTATTGAAATAATCTAGTATGAGGTGAGATACTGCACCAGAGTGATAGCAGTGTCGGAGGAGAGAAGAGAGCATATTTGAGAGATGATGCAAAGGTGAAATGTACAGGCCTTGACAACAGGGGGATAAGAGATAGTGAGGAGTTGAGAATGCCTAGGATGTGAGCCTGAGGGCTCCTAAAGCAGGAATATCGGCAGTAAAAGAATAATGCAAATTGCCATTAGTAATCCATAAATAAGAATGAATGTTGTCTTTTGTTATGATACAGCGAAGGATGATTTTGTATAAATACGATAATTTCTTAATGGAGATGTCTTTAACTACTCACTGTGCTCATAAGCCAAAAATACCATCATAATCTAAAATATCCAAAAACACAAGTGCCTCCCTAAACAAAGTTTAAAAAAAAATCTGTCATCAAATTTTATAGTTAATAGTGGACTTCTGAATTGATATAAAATCAATAATGCTACAGGCATATTAAAAATATTTCCTGAGCTCTTCCTGCACTAGGTGAATGTCAGTTTCATTCTTTAAAGAATAACACTATGGTAAAATCTCCATCTTCTTAGAAACTATCAGGCAAACTGAGATTAGACAAACACGTTAACAGATGTTTTAATCATTTAATAATCAAAAAGGATACTGGTCCGTTTGGGGCCGTCGAAAGTTCTCTGGAAGGTTAGCTTCATAGAGCATTCTTGCCTTTGTATTTCCCATATCTTGCATGCACTGAAAATTAAAAATTTCAAAAAAAAATCGGTCAGAGATAAAACATAAATAACTTCCCATCTGAGTACTTATTCAAATAACAGATACAAGAGTCTTCACTTACAAGTATATTTCTTTTTCAAAGAAACTTAATTTTAAATTAAAGCTATTAATCTATTTCTTACACATGGTATATTTCCCATAGCTTCAGACACAGTAATATCTTTTAGTTAAAAAAAATTAAATATATGTACTTGTCTCATAAAAACTACATTCTGTAATGTCTGTTTACATGCAGAAGATATATGTTTAGTTGACTAAAAGTATTTGAGATTTTTTTTTAAAGGACAAACATGAAAATTTAACACATTCTCTCTAGGATGTATTTCTACAGATTCATAAGAAATACTCAAAGAAAAATATAAATAAATATAACTTTTTTCACCAGTTTTAAAATATTGGCTATATCTTGCAACATCTGTATTGAATACAAACTAACTCATGATCTAAGATACACAAAAGAGGGTGGGAGGTCGGGGAAGAGGAAGAGAAGCTTTTGGTAAGCCTGTCTGATTGCTGGTACCTCTTTATATTAAAATACAGTGTGGAGTAGTCGGAGGATGGAGAGAGGCAACAAATGTAGATTTAGAAAATTCTTACAATTGGAAAGAAACTTACAAGGAATCTAGTCCAACACAGAACTAAGCAGGAATTTACCTCTAAAATTTCTAGATTAAGTAAATGGTCACCGAGACTACATTTGAAGATGTCCAGTGATGAGGAACTAATTGATCAACTAATACATTTCAGGACCTAGGTTCAACAACCTTACACAAGCCATTTAATTTCCCTTTAAGTTTTCTCATTTGTAAAATGAGGACACTAAAGAGCTAAAAGGGATAATATGAGAAAAATGCTATGAAAACAGTAAAGTGCTATTTGCATGTTATACTGTGCTTTATTTTCATGTACAGATTAACAATAATAATAAATAATAATAGCAGCTAGCATTTATGTAACACTTACTATGTGCCAGGCACTAGCACATTAATTTACAATTAATATTTCATTTGATCTTCATAACAACCCTGCAAAGTGCTATTATCCTCATTTTACAGGTTAGGAAATTGAGGCAAACAAGAGTTTGAGTGACTTGCCCAGGGTCACACAGCCAGTAAGTATGTGAGGACACATTTGAACTCAGGCCTTCACGACTCCAGACACTTCCTGATCATTTAGCTACTTACTGTCTTCACCTAGAACACCAAAGTAGGCCAGAACTCCCCACCCCCAATTTAGTATTTAATGAATCAAGTTTAAACACAAAAATATGAATTTTAAAATTACAAAATTTTGGTGGTTGTCTGAAGCATATACAATCAATAAACTATCAAGGCCAAAGGTGAACCAAATGTGCAATTTACACTCTAATTTCTGGGCCACAGTCTAAGTTGGTACTTTACACAAAATTCTCTTTAAAAGGGCTTTATAAGAGATAAGTAGCCCATATATCAAAAGCATTATTGAAGCTCAGATAATTACCTAAAAGTATGCTACTATCTACTTTCTAATAAGTGATGTTCCGAGATAAAACAAAACTTGATCACGAAGTGTAATGCAAAGAAAGAACAAAATAACCTGGTGAAAAAAAAAAGAGGTAGACAAGGACAACTTCAACACCCACTTTCTCAACAAGCTGATTTCCCAAATATATTTATTTCTACGTACTTAAGTGGTCATGATGGGTATATTTAGGAAAATGGGACTGTGATGGCATTTACTAAAATACAAATTTATTTAGAAAATATTCATTTGCAGCCACTGTAATTTGTTGTGTAAAGCAGAAAACCAAAAAAAAATCACTGATGAATGTGTTACACAATTATTTCTTTACTCATAATGTCACATTCTTTCTTTACTCATTATTGGTGACTCCGTTTCCAAAGTTACCAATGATCTCAACCGCCAACTTTAATGACCTCTTCTCAGGCCTCATCCTTCTTGATCTCTCTGCAAGTTTTGACAGTGTGGATCATCTTCTCCAAAATATTCTCTTCTCTCCAGGTTTTTATGACACTGCTCTCTAGTGGTTTTCAATCTTCTTTTCCTGGATCTTCATCCAGGTCATGCTCACCAACTTAATCTTGTGCAGTGTCTGTTCACAAGGGTCTGTCCTTAGCCCTCTTCTCTTTGCTCTAGCTTCTATGTCTCTTGGTGATCTCCTCAGTTCCCAAGGATTTAATTAACACTTCTATGCAGATGATTCTCAAATTTATTTAGGCCTAACCTCTCTTCTAGTCTCCAGTCTCACAACAGCAATTGTCTATTAGATAACTCAAAATGGATGATTGGTAGACATCTCAAACTCAGCATATCCACAAGTGTATTCATTATCTTTACCCTGAACCCTCCTCTCTTCCCAACTTCTTTATCACTGACAGGAGCTCTACCACCCTCCCAGTGACCCAGGCTGACAACCAAGGTGTCCACCTTGACCCTTCACTTACACTCAGTTGCCAAGTCCTATCATTTCTACCTTTTCGACACCTCTCTACTTATACATATGGCATTCTTGTACAGGCCCCCATCACCTCACACCTGTACTACTGAAATAGTTATGGCTGGTCTCTCTCATTTACCTATCCCAGTATATTCTCCACTCAGGTCCCTAAATAATCTTTAATTACAGGTCTGATAATATTACCTCTCCACTCAATAAATTCCAGTGCTTCCTATCACATCCAGGATCAAATATAAAATTCTTTGGCTTTGGAAGCCCTACACAACCTACTCTCCTTTCTATCTTCTAATCTTCCTGTACTTTTACTTCCTTCCACCTAATCCAGGATCCAACAGCATTTGCCTTCTCGCTACTATTCCTGGAACACAACAATTCCATCTCCTTTCACTTCTCTCTCCAGCCCATTTTCAACTACCTGCCAAAAATTGATTTTTTAAAGTACTGATATGATCGTGTCATTTTTCCTACTCCCTTTCTGGCTCCCTATTGACTCTAGGATAAAATAATATCTTTTCCAGCCCTTCACAACTTGGCCCAAACCTACCTTTTCAAATGACTAAGTTTAAAAATATTAGATACAAAAGAGATTTATAGAACAACAGGAACCAAAGAAATTAACCCAGAAATATATTTATAGAACAAAAGTAGCAAATGAAAATAGCTAAATCAAACACACTCTCTAGGTTTTCAGCTCTAGATCTACAATTCCATTTGTTTTATGAGGCTGAAGGAGAAAAATTATTTTCTGATTTTATCTTCAGGAATTAGAAAGTTGGCTATACATTGGACTCTTCTAAACAATATAAATTAGAAAACTTTTAATGATGTTTCAGTATCAGCAAGTTGATAAGACAACACCAGCACCAAATACATAAAGAATCACTGTTTAAGGAATACATACAATTTATCTGCCTTAATGTAAGCATACCATTTCCTTGGATGATCATTAACTAGTGGCTAAATAAGAACTCACGTGAAAGTACTTTGTAAATTATAAAGCATGATACAAATTATTATATTTGATGTGTAGAACACTCAACAACAGAAGATAAAATATACTAAACGTGGCCAATCTAAGATTTATATCCATTCGCTATGTTGAAAATAACTTCATATTTGGCCATCAAGACAGAAAACAAAAATAATATGGCTTGAAATTTTTGTTGTGGTAAATACTGAGAACATTATGATCTAATATGACATCAGAAAGTAGCATTAGGATGTAAATTTAAGGCTCAAGTGAGGTTATTTTTTGGCTCCTGAGCTTAATCCAGAAAGGTTCTTTTACTAGTCTGCACTGTCACGTGTATCTCAACATGGAAATGACAAATACAATACATCAAAATTAGTAAGCCTTGATATGAAAAACACTTGGTTCATAGCCAACACAACTATGGCAACATGGGCCAAATAGCTGGTTAATTTAATCTCTACTTTGTGAAGGAAGTAAATATTAAATTATATGACTTGGTCATATAATTCATCAGTAACAGGAAAAGCTGAGTTGTTATTCTTTTCCAATTTCTTAGGCATTCTAGGACATTCCACCCTTCTATAATACAATTACAATACCTGAGGTTTAGTAAGGAAAACATCTTCAGTTTAACCTTTTTTTTTTTAGTTCACTAGTCCAAATTGTCTAATCTAAAGCAAAGTCTTCACTTCTCTAAACGCCCTTCTTCAACCCACAAATGACAAATTTTGGCCGCTCCATTTGATGGGGGAGGGGAGGGAGGTTATCAAGAGTTTTATTTATTACTTTACAACAATAACTTTTTAAGAGCTGGAAGGACCTTAGAAACCACCTAATTCCAGGACAGTACACTGGAAAGAACATTGGATGACTGAGTCTGAGGACCTGGATTCTAAGCCTTTGACATTTAATGCCTTTGTGACACAGAACAAGACATCTAACCTCCCTCAGTTTTCTCATCTTTAAATTGGAAAGGAAGGTTGATAAATAGATAATAAATTAAGTAGTCTCTGTAGTTCTAGATCTATAATCCTATGATTCCTACACTTTTTTGTATTATTGGTGCTTTCTGACCACCTCTGCCATACTGAACCTTCTCCTGTCATAAAAATCATCACTCTCCATCCCTTAAAAGCTGATAGAGTGACTTCATCTGACAATGTATACAACATTCTGCCCTAGTAGCCCCCTTGCTCTGCCAAAAGGATGAAGATATGTTTTATTATTTGTTCTATACAGCAACAGAATAAATTCTTGACCTAGAATAGAACTAAGAAATCATCCAGTATACCAGTCCCACTTTCTGTTCTACAAATGAGGAAAGCAAGGTCCAACAAATTCCCTATAGCACTATATGATATGATCCTCATACTCACCTTGTGAGGTAGATGCTATTATTATCCCCATTCTACAAATGGGTAGAATGTATAGAGTCTCAGCTAAGACTACAAGAAATTTAGTGATTTGCCCAGGATCACTCAGCTCCTAAATGTCTGAGGCAGCATTTGAACTTAGGTCTTCCTGACT